AAAATAATAAGTAGTTACCTTTCCATAAGAGAAATTGAATATCCGACTATTCAGGGCAACATTATCACCCGCAAAGTCACCGCGGGAGTTCCACAGGGTTCGGACCGACCCTGTGGAATATTACTTATGATCAAGTATTAAGAACATCCGCTGAGGACGGGACTTTTATACTGGGATACGCCGACGATACCTTGGTATTGGCGAAGGCTAGTACTCTTGAGTTAGCAATAGCTAAAGCTAATCTACAAGTTGCCAAGGTTATAACAAATATCAAATCATTTATTTGGTCTACAAATCGCCCCTGCTAAGACGGGCGTGATTGCCCTTAATACTAAAGTTACGGGGAATATATACAATGTACAACAACATGCATAATATTTACATAGATCGTAAAATAGTTCCTCTGGAAGTTAACATCAAATACTTAGGACTTATACTCGATAAGGATTGGAAATTTATAGATCATTTTAAATATCTAGAAGGCAAAATATCACGAGTTAGTAGAGCTCTTAACTCACTAATGCCAAACTTGCGGGGTCCTCGTGAAAAGAAGCGTAAATTATATGCTAATGTCGGATCTATAATTAATTATGGAGCTCCAATTTAGAGCGAATACATGTTTAATCGTAAAATTAAAGATACACTACGCCGTATCCAACGTACAACTGCGATAAGAGTCATTGCAGGTTATAGAACAGTCTCTGCTGATACCTCCATGTTATTGGCTAAGATAATATCCGTGGAAATACACGTGGCTTACTATCGTCGAGTGTTTCTACGAATCAAAGATTTAAAGCTACAAAACACATGGAGCAAGCTTATAGAACGAAACATAAAAAAAAAGAGACTATTCTAATGAGAAGACAATGGCATCTGCTACTTCAACGTCGAGAGACAGCAGGCGTTCGTACCTGCCACGCTATTGAACCAGTGCTGGAACACTGGTTAGATCGTACACACGGGGAGCTAACTTTTCATGCAACCCAAATAATTACCGGCCATGGATGCTTCCAATCATATCTTTACCGTATCGGGAAAGTTTCTACGGCCCAATGTATATTTTGCGAGAATGACGACAGCCCGGAACATACTTTACAGAGCTGTATGCAATGGAACGAGGAGCGAGAACTCCTATGTAGTATAATAAGGCAGGATCTGTCATTGGGTACCGTTATCGTGCAAATTTTGCAATCAGAAGAAAACTGGCAAGCATTTGTGATGTTTGCAGAAAGAGTTATGTTGGTTAAGGAGGAGGAGGAACGCTCCCGTGAACGGAATGGATGAATGCTCGCACACTACGTATCCAATAACAATTTTGGAGTAAACACCGAAGATAAGCTGTTAGCCTATAATTATACTGACACACACACTCAATTACACACTATTTACACTATTTACACATATATACACAAACAAAGGGGGGGAATGGAGGGTGGAGGGAAGAAGAAGGAGGGGATGAGGGGTAGGTTCTAAATGGGGTTGTATTTGGGAAGGAGGGAAGGGAAGGGTACACAACACAATACAACATAATACTCACGCACACACACATACACACACACATTTACACACACTTACATCTAACTTAACTGGACGAATTGAAACCGTACATATTGTACGGTCACAATTACTTACCTTACGACCCGCAAATCTATCTGCGAGATATTGAACGCCGACACTATTTTACCGCTGACACTGAACTCTTATGACTGTCCATACACAACACATACATTTATATACATAATGCATTTGTCTCATTGCGCGGGGGATAGGGGTAGGGGGGTAGGGTATAAGTAAAGGGGAGGAAGAGGGAGAGGAGGGGAGGGATTATCATTTGCACATTTTATCATTACACACGCACACTGACACCAATTTCACAGGGACATTTAGCGTGACGGGGTCATTGGTAGGGAGGTGGGGTTGGGTAGGTGAGTTGGGAAGGAGGGTAGGGATGGGATTAAGGGGGGAAATTATACGTGGGGAGGAAGGGTAATCATTCATCCAATTACATGCACTGGACACTCACGCGCACACACATATCACCACACGCACACACATATCACCACACGCATATACATACATTACACTTACAACCACACATCACCACTCATTATATACCTATGCACCCCATAACACTAACATACACCACACTTACCTTGGACTTCGCCAGGGTGCCCAATAGAGACGGGGGCGAAAGCCCACTTGACAGATGACTCTGGAGTGGGTTATGCGAAAGCAGATACCACTCCGGAGTCATGTCAATACCTGACGGACGTAAAGAGAGGAGTTTTTAGTAGGTAGTGGGCCGTTAAATAGGCCGAGTCCCACACTGCCCCGCTCTACGGGGGGCGGGGCGTGCGTAAGAAGCATTTTCTCCTCTCTCGTAAAAAAAATAAATAAATAAAATAAAAAAAACAGATTCTCCCCCGGGTGGGGAAGGAGAGGGAAGGGGGAGGGATGGGATTAAGGGGGGCATATATGGGGGGGAGGGATCATTCATTCATCTCATCTTACGCGCAAACATACATACACTTGCACACAAACAGCACACTCACTTATACACACTTACAAGCACTCAACCACACATGCATTACACATACAACCTAACACACACAACACGCACACAGGACGAGCGGAAGGTAACCCGGACAGTAAGGGGGTACAAAGCCCATCAGGCGTAACCTCCCGGGCGGTTCATGCCAAGGCGGGTACTGCCCGGGGGGGGTCGGCCACTTACGGAAGGACGCCAATAAGGTTTAAAAAAAAAAAAGATTCTCCCCAGACTCATATCGAGGAGGAAGTATTACGGGCAATGACTGCCGCTGAGGTATGCGTTCAAGCGCTCGAATATGTATCCAACATAGAGTTAATTCGCACTAAGTGTGGAAAAATTCAGGGCGGCCTTAGCGGAGAGCTCCGCAAAATGTCACAAGGACTCGGCGAATTAGTGCGCGAATTGCAGCACAAAGCTGAAGCGGTGGGAGATCCCCACTCTCTTAAAATTAAGATTGAGGAACTCTTAAGAGACATAAAACAGTAACAAAGCTCGTGAAAAGGAAGAAGAACGAAGGAAAAGAGAAAAAAGTGAGTTCTTAGAGATCATTGCAGATATCAAAAAGGAAAATTTAGAAATTAGAAGAGAGAATCGTGAAATGAAAGCTGAGCTACAGAAAGAGATGGAAGATATAAAAGCGAGTATGGAAAGAGATAGCTGCGGACGCAGTAACATAAAAGAAGACACAAATATGAAAGAGGATGGAAACAAGAAAGAAAAGAAAAAAGTTTCCTTTGAAAAAGAAATGAGGTCTTGCCCAGTACCCAAGTCACAAAGAAGACCTGCGGCTAGAGAGGTCAACTTAACATTAAACGAGAGCTTACCAACAGAAAGTGCTCCGGCTTTCCAACACTTGAAGGAGAATCTACAAGGAACAACTGGTGGAAATGAATGGCCCGCTACTGACGAGACATGGTCATCACCTTCTCCTGCAGGTAAAAAACGAAAGCTAGATATTGTGACTGAGCCGCCTCTAAGATTCCTGTGGCAAAGTGAACATTTGTCTTCTCTGGATGGAACTATTAATGTTCCCACTAGTACTACACCATCCGGTAAACGGGAGTTTCTCTCCATGGAAGGAGCCCCAGTACCAGTAGGGGGATCCCCACAATGATATTTTCGGGATTGGGCAACAAGTCGGCTGCTGCCACACCTCAGCCAAGATGTATCGTAAAAGAAAATATACAACTAGTTCCTCCTCGAGAGGATTATACAGCATCTAAGAAAACTTACGCTAGTATATTAAAAAAAAAGGATAAGGATAAAATATCTACATATTTACAGAAGGATAAGGTGTTTACATTCTCACAAGCGCCGTTGGAACAAACCACAGAGAATAAACCAGAGTGGTTTACAATAGGAAAGAAAGGTAAACCTATTCAGCAGTTTGCTCCGAAGATCTCTAAAAAAACAGAGTCTCAAAAACTTACTTAAGAAAGAGAGGAAGAGACTCCCGGCTACCGCAGCCATTAGTATTAGAGGCAGCAAGAAAGACTTTGATTATGCAGACGCTCTAAAACGGGCGCGCCAAAACATCTCTCTTGAGGACTTGGACATTAAAAATCCCAAAATCAGGAAAGGTATCAGTGGATCAACTATTATAGAGATGTCTGGTCCTGATAACATTAAAAAAGCGGACTTGCTTGCATCGGAGATGAGCAAGATGTTCACCGGAGAGGCACTAATCTCCCGCCCTAATATCAAAGGGGAGATTAAATTAACGGGCCTGGATGAATCAATCTCCACAAATGATGTCTGTGATGCGATTACGTCTGCAGGACCCTGTAAACCCAGTGATATTACTGTTGGACAAATCGGTAGAAATAGATTCGGAAATGGCATTGTTTGGGTCAAATGTCCAAAAGCAGCCGCACTTGCCCTTGCTGAGAAGAATAAGTTACAGATTGGATGGTCTCGCGTAACGGTTGAATTACTTCCAAACCGTCAGATCCAATGTCATAAATGCTGGAGTCTCGGGCACGTTCGCTCTAAATGTCGATCCAACAAGGATTACACAGGAAGATGTTTCCGATGTGGTGAGAAAGACCACAAAGTAGACACGTGTAAAAATAGAGCTAGATGCATAATCTGCGCGGAGAGACGTTTCCTTGATAACCATCGTATGGGTTCAAATATCTGTAAGGTCGCCAAGATGACTCCTTCCCCACGTGCAAGTACCGAAACAGAAGTAGACAATATTTCACCGAAAGACACCACTAGCACTCCTCCTTCGGAAGTTGCAAGTATGGAAAATTCATCTATTAAATCTAGCCCCGAGAATATAAGTCCTACTGAGATATCCACTGAAAAACTGGAAAAATCGTCAGATCGGAGGACTGATGTTTCGATGGAGATCGAAGAGCCGGAGAAATCTTCTAATTGTAGTTACTTACATGAAGAAGAATATACATACTGGCTTAAAATCTAATAGTTATATACAAATATCTACATGGTTACTATACTACAAATTAATCTCAATAACTGTAAGGCAGCTCAAGATTTAATGCTATATACAGAGAGAAAACATCATATCGATTTAATATTAATCACCGAGCCTTATAAGGTACCAGAAAATTCGTTCTGGACATCAAGTAAAAACAACACGGCTTGTATACGTTGGAATCCTGATGGTCGTATGAATACATGTATAAAAAGAAGAAGTGGCAGATTTTCCACATCCATACAGTGGAATAATTATGTATTTGTGTCCTGCTACATTTCTCCTAATATAGATATCAATGAATTCGAGGAATTCCTTGATGAAATAGATAATATAATCATGGACGCTCAAGACTACAAGATCATTATCGGAGGCGACTTTAACTCAAAATCCACTATGTGGGGCGCCTCTCAGACTAATATACGTGGAGATCGTTTGGAGAGATGGAGTGCAAATCGAGATATGATACTTGTTAATCACGGTTGTAAACCCACCTGCATAAGATCACAGGGTTCTTCTATCATTGATTTGACGTGGTGTAGTCCCAGTGCCAAACTTCAAATATTATCCTGGGAAGTAATGAACTTGGAGACATTGTCAGATCACGCTTATATCATCTTTCAGATCAATATGAATGAAGCTCCTCCGATATCACGACGTAAAAAGAATTACATTAGATGGGCGCACAAAAAAATGGACGCGGACAGATATAGAGAAGTCCTGACGTGGAAATGTGTGAACCACACACACGATGAAGAAGACGTAAATAAAATGGCTAAATGGACGCAGGAGGTTATTACTGAAGCTTGTAATTACAGCATACCTATTATAATCAACATGCGAAGAGAGAGTGTATATTAGTGGAATAGTCAAATAGCCAAAGCACGATTTGAGTGTAATCAAGCCAGAAGGAAATGGCAGAAGATGAAGAAAAATAAAGCTGTCACTAATATACTACTTGCGGAAGAATCTTATAGATCCAAAAAGAAAATACTTTGTACGTTAATAAAGAAGGCTAAAAGTCAAGCATGGAACGATCTTATTCAAAGTGTAGAAAAAGACCCTTGGGATCTCCCATATAAAATCGTGATGAAGAAACTACGGCTAAGTACACCTTGTTTCGGCGAAACCTTCCCGATTGAGATCCTGGAACAATTAGTCGACAGACTATTTCCACAAGATCTTCTGTATAACGAGGGAATAATTGAAGAAGATGCTACCGAACCTTGGCTCGAAGAATACGATATAACTATTGAAGAGATCAATAACATCCTAAAGAAAAAAACAGGGGCTAATAAAGCCCCTGGTATAGATGGTATTAAGTCCATCTTTCTCAAAAGGATCTCCTCAGAATTTCTGAAGGAATTGACTTTCGTCTATAATCAATGTTTACGTAAAGGAATTTTCCCCAACATGTGGAAAAAGTCGCTCTTGATATTGCTTCCTAAACGGGTGCAAGATATATTAGCTCCTAATGCACGCCCCATATGTTTGATTAGTGAGCTTGGTAAGCTGTTGGAAAGCGTTATCGACAACCGAATTCATGATTGGATGGATAGACATCCTGAATCACAACTGGCTAAGAACCAATTCGGTTTTAGGAAACACACTTCTACATGTGACGCACTACTAATCGTCCAGGAGATAGTAGCAGAGGCCAAATTAAAAGGCGAAATTGTCATTGGCATAAGTTTGGATATCACAAATGCGTTCAATTCAATACGCTGGTGTAATATCAGAAGAGCGCTAAAAGAAAAACAATTCCCGAAATATTTACGTAGAATTATCGGCGATTATCTATCGAATAGACAAATTGAGTATCCTACTATTCAAGGAACGACTATTATGAGAAAAGTTACCGCGGGTGTCCCACAGGGATTGGTCCTTGGACCGACCCTGTGGAACATCACTTATGATTCCATCCTGAGAACACCGACGGAAGAGGATACGATTATACTTGGTTACGCCGATGACACTTTTGTATTGGCAAGTGCACTATGAAGGCTGCAGTGGTTAAGGCTAACCTACAGATTTGTAAAATTATTCTCAATATTAAGAACTTAGGATTACACATTGCGGCACATAAAACTGGAATAGTAGCCTTTAATACTAAAAATAAAAATAAGGATATATACAATAATAATATTATGTACACTATATATATTGATAAAGAAGTGGTACCCATCAATTCCACTGTTAAATATCTTGGTCTGATCCTAGATAAAAATTGGTCATTTATAGATCACTTTGATTATATCGAGAATAAAATTTCTAAAGTGAGTCGAGCTCTTTGTGTGATTATGCCCAACCTTCGTGGACCGCGTGAGAAAAAACGCAGGTTGTACGCTCATGTGTTTGCATCCATAATCAACTATGGCGCTCCTATATGGAGCGAATCTACTATACATAGAAAAATTAAGGAAAAGTTACGCCGTATACAGCGGGTATTAGCAATACGCGTTATTGCGGGATATCGGACAATCTTTACAGATGCATTATTGCTTCACGCGAGAATATTTCCGGCGGACTTACATGCTGCGTATTTCCGCCGGGTATTCCTGCGGGTGCACGAATTGAAAAGACAAGGACTTTGGAATAAGCTTGAGGAAAAAGAGATTAAGAAAGAGGAAGAAATTTTCCTACGAAGACAATGGAGAATCTCTCTCCAACGTAGAGACATAGCAGAGGTGCGCACGTGTCATGCCATCGAACCCCAATTGAAATTATGGTTGGATAGACAACATGGCGAGATGACTTTTCACGCCACACAAATTATTACGGGACACGGCTGTTTTCAGTCTTATTTGCATCGTATAGGCAAAGCTGAAACGCCTGTATGTGTCTTTTGTGATTCAGAAGAGGACACACCGGATCACACGCTCCAACGATGTACAGAATGGGATACTCATCGGGAACTTTTGTGCAGTATGATCAGTCAAGATTTGACGTTAAATACCTTAATCAGTCAAATATTGTACTCCGAAGATAACTGGGAGGCCTTTGTGACCTTCTCGGAGGCTGTTATGTTTGCAAAGGAGGAGGAAGAACGCGTGGAGGAGGAAGTGCGCGTGAGCGCAGTTGGGAGGAGAACAGCGAAGAGGAGATATGATTCGGTTAATATGATGAAAACTGCCTCAATACTTACTTAAATTAGACAATTGGCTTTACAGTCATTCATTTATATACGTATGAGTACACTCTAGAAATTAATCCAATCTAGAGAGTACAAAGTTCGAAACACTCTTTCACACACACACACATATATATACATACATGCATACCACACATTCACACTTACATATACATATACATTCAACCAAACATACATAGTAAATAAGACACATCTACAGGGGGGGGATTACGGAGGGAGGAGGGAAGGAGAAGGAGGGGGTAGGGGGTAGGGTTTGGGATGGATTAGGGAAGGGGGTACGGGCACACAACACAACACACATCACGCGTCTGTGTGCATGCGTGCGCGCGCGCGTGCATGCATGCACATGCGCACACACACACATACATACACATACACACGAACCACTGTAGAAACTAGGCAGTACTTACCTAAGATGATCTGACAAAATATCAGACAAATGCCTTTTTCTCCTGGTTACACATACACGGAAAGGAAAAAAAACAAAAAAACAAAGACACACATGCACATGTACATACACACGCATACGAACATATACACATATACATATACACCTACACGCACCTACACACACACCTACACACACACATCACCATACAGTTTCTTACACAAACCAGGAGACTGACATACCGAGGACACCCGAAGGAAGTAGGTCAGGAAGACCTAACGGCAACGACCCCCGGGCGGGTAATGCGTAAGCGGGTACCGCCCGGGGATCAAAGCCATACAGGAGGAGCGTAAAGAGAGGAGTTTTTAGTGAGTAGGGGCCATTAAATAGGCCGAGTCCCATACTGCTCCGGCCTACGGGGGCCGGAGGCGTGCGTAAACAGCATTTTCCCCTCTCTCGTAAAAAAATAAAAAAATAAAAAGATTCTCCCCCGACTCCTCCGTGGTGTGCCATCTTGTCGTGGTGGAGGAGCTCCCCTCTTCCCACTGGGTTGAGGGGTCTAAGAGCACACCATTGCACTTCCTCATCTTCCGTTCGGCATTGAGCCGGAAGGGAATAAGAAAGGGGGTTGCGCCTCCGGACACCTTGGCCTGATGCGCATAGGGGTAGGCGGCCCTGACTACAATCGCCCGGTCGGTCACGACCGTTAGGGGTGACCCTGCTTCGGCGGGGCCTACCACCCCGGTGACTAGAGCATGGAAAACCTTGAATGAAAAACCCGGCCTGGACAGTCCGTTAGCCTCTGGACGGCGTGTCCTAAGGGAAGGACTCCTCCGATGGTGCGCCACCTTGTCGTGGTGGAGGGGCTCCCCTCTTCCTTCGGGTTGAGGGGTCTAAGAGCGCACCATTGCACTTCCCTCCCCGGAAGGGGAGGAAGGGGGGATTCCGCTCCCTCCGGGCCTAGGGCCTAAAGCGGATAGGGGAAGGAAAACCCTGACTCCAAACCCGGCACAATGGGGCTGGTTACGGGTGGGAGAACACCCAACCCATTCTTTCTTCCAACCCATCCTATACTTCCCATTCTTCTTCCTCGACCGATTGTCCCAGGGTCTCTAACTCTACCTTCTTCGGGGTGGCGCCCGCTTTCAAATAGCACGGTACCCGGCTTTGGGTGCAGATGGAGCCCAGCGACTCCATAGAGACGAGGTCTGCTGCCGCAGGCCAGTCTCGTTCGCTGGAAGGGGTTGGCGGCCCCGACTTCAATCGCCCAGTGGCACGGCACTGCAGGGGGAGCTTAGCTCTCCGCCCGTGACTTGTGCGGGTGCTCCCGCAGGGGATGAGGGTGCTGAGCGGTGGGTGCTCCTGCCGTGAAGCGTCCCTCAGTGGGGAAAAGTGGGAGCCGGTCGGGGCCCTCGCCCGAAGGACTGGATGGGTGACTTAGTCACCCGCCGGGCCAGAGGCGGGGATTACCCCGATGTCGGTGACTCCCACGAGTGAATGTAAGTGTGTGTGTGTGTGTGTGCGTGTGTGTGCGTGGATGTGTTAATAACCTTTTATTTTCAGGTACATTCGGTTCTCGGTCGCCGTTCGCGATTCGTCGATAGGCGTCGTTATTGCGTCGTTACTGCGTCGTTGTTTCGTCGTCGTCGTCGCGGTCGCTTGCGTCGCGGTCAGTCCGCAGAGGTCTGAAGACCAAGGTGTAGGAACCGTGCTTAGGGTCTGCATGGTCGCGTAGACGCAAAATGTCGCGATCGTTAACGGTCCGTCCCGGGATACCTGCCGTCCTCCCGGCGTATTTAGGCTTGGCGGCGTAAAGGTGGCTCTACGTCGTTCGACCACTCCTTCCACCGTACTCGTAGGAACAGTATGAGATTGAAAATTAAAAATTCTGACGTGGTGAGGAGGAGTGCCCGCTTGGCCGACCGCTTCCGGCCTGGCGCGGCCGCTGTTAGGGATGCGCGGGGTGTCTCCGTCGTTGGGTCGCGGGTCTGCTCGACCGCGTGCTCGGTGGCGGCCTCCGCTTCCTCGAGAGCGCCTCACCGAGCTGTGCGCGCGCGGGCTCAAGACCCAGCACGCGGTGCACAGCCCCAGGAACACGGTGTTCCCACCGTTAGATCCGCGTCGGTCCGTCGCGAAGTAGCCGTTATGAAAACCGCGTCCGTCGTCTTAGAGCGTTGCTGGATTTCAGAGATTAGGTCGGCGTCGATAAATTTAGTGCGGAAATTAGGAACCGTCGATAGCGATAGCGTTAGAGTAGTGCGTGAAATAGATAAGCCCGCGATTAGATCCGCGCTTAGATCCGTCGAAACTGCGAAAACGGAG